CGCGTGCCTCATCCCGGTCTCATGGGCTCGCCTGCCTCGATCGGCACGCCTGTGGGCGACGCCGTGGACGAGCCCTCGAACATGGGCGTGATGGTCGAGTCCGTCACCGCACTACCCCTCGAGCTGTCCACCGGGCCGGCGACTGGCTCAGGTGGCGGAGCAGAGTACGCCATCGAGGAGGACCCGCTCCAGCCGATCTACCGCAAGGTCGCGGGCGACATGTTCCGCGCGGTGAATGACATCGACGTGCCCAAGACGGTCCCGCTCGTCCTCTCGTACACGTGCATCATGCTCGCCATGTACGTGGCGCGCATGGACGCGATGCAGGCACACGCGCTTGTCGGGCATGTCAAGGTCGTCGACGCGTACGACACGACCGCCGGTGTGAACATGCCGGGATCGTATGCCGCTGGCGTCGACTCCAAGGCGGGCATGAACATGTTCCCGACGCCCGACTACTTCCCTCACGGGTGGCGCGAGCCCGAGAAGCCCATCTACATCCGCTGCGCAAACAACGACTACCTCAAGGCGAAGGGCGTCGGCACCGCGTACGCCTTCGCGCTGGCTGACCCGACCAAGCCGCAGGACACCAAGGTTGTGAACACCGAGTGGGTGAACGCGCTGTACGCGCCCGGACTCGCCATGCCTCTCGTCAGCGTCAAGGAGTGCAAGGCGCAGAACATCGTGGTCCGCTTCGACCTCTGCCCACCACGCTTCAACTACCCCTCCGGGCAGACCATCTACTTCGGGGAGGACTTCAACATCCACCTGATGCCGCTCGGCGCATCCGTCGGCGCCAACGCCGCCAAGGCCATCGTGCGCGGCAAGCCGGGGCGGCGCCCGACGGATGGCACCTTCTGGCGGCACGCCCTGTGCATCTCCGGCGACGCGCTAAAGGACCTCAGCAAGATCGCGGACGGCGTGCCAGACCTCTCCAAGATGGACCGCAACGAGGGCCTCGACGACGCCGCGCTGCAGGCGAACGCCAAGTACCACGCGCGGCGCAGCACCGGCCGGCCACTGGCCACTCGCTTCGGGGGCTCGTCGCACTACGACCTCTGGTCGCCCAAGGGTGTGGTAGGCGTCGATGGGCACTGCTACGCACTCATGGTCGTCGACGAGCACACCAGCACCATCACGCCGTACATCCTGCAGACCAAGGGCCAGACGCCTGCCTACCTGCGCAAGTACTTCGCCGAGAACGAGGGAAAGGACGGCCACACGTTCCGCGGAGGAGTTGCGTTCTGCGACAACGAGGTCGTCCTCAACTCCAGCGCCGTGCGCGAGCTCTGCCTCAAGTACGGCATCACCCTCCGCAACAGCTGCCCCTACGAGCCGTGGCAGAATGGGGCGTGCGAGCGTGCGAACGCTACCTGCGGCAGGATCGTGCGGGAGATGATGGCACGCGCAGGGGGGCATGGCGCCGCCCAGCTCTACCAGTACTGGGGCTACGCCTGGGTGTACGCGGCCACCATCGCCAACGCCACCTTCGCCGTGCGCGACACCGGCAAGTCAGCGTACGAGCTCAAGACCGGGCAGCGCCCCAAGATGAACATGTTCTACCCGTGGGCGTGCAAGATGATCGTCAAGTCGCCCTCCCACCTTGTGGCGAACGGTGTCTCACCCACGGGCGAGATGGCGGCCTTCCTCGGCATCTCGCGCACTTCGCCCGGCTGGAAGTACGTCATCACCGAGGGTCCGCGCAAGGGGCACATCGGCACCACCACGCAGGCGACATTCTGCGTCAACGAGCTCTGGAACGGCATCGAGTACCGTGCTCCTACCTCCGACCTCACCCCGACGGACATCGAGGGCGCGTGGCCGGAGCCTGTGACCGCGGACGAGACGCCCGACGAGTCGGACAAGGCTACGCTCGACAACAACGTGACCCGCGGCGACTCCGTCTTCCTCCCCACCACCGACAACCACGCCGGGGGGCTGACCCTCGACGAGGAGGTGGTGATCATGCCAGACCCGGCCAACGACGGCAACGTCAACCCGCCCGCAGCGGGTGCGCCTGCGCCGCGCACCACCCGCAGCCGCGGCGGCGTCTCGACGGGCGAGTACAACAACATGCTCAACGCCCGCCTCGCCGCCAATGCCACGCCCTTCGGCATCTGGGCGGCTGCGGCGGCCGCATCCCCATCGTCGTCGGTCTACCGCAACACCACGGACCAGTGCGTCGCGTACATGTCGAGCGTGGACGGCCAGATCATGCCCATGCCGGACAACATCGTGCCCAAGCACTACAAGGACATCGCCAACATCCGCGACCCCAAGCTGCGCGACGCGTGGTACAAGGCGTATGACACCGAGTTCCTCGGCCTCATCCAGAACGGCACGCTCAAGCCCATGCGCCGCCCCGCCAAGGTGCGCGTCCTCCCGCTGAAGGAGATCGCCTCCCGGAAGTCCGACGGCCGGTGCAAGTGGCGCGGCTGTGTCATGGGCAACCTGATGCGGCCCGGCGTCGACTTCACCAAGACCTTCGCGAGCGTCGTCCGCTACGGCACGACCCGCACCGTGCTCAACGTGGCCGCGCAGGAGGACATGGAACTCATCACGTGCGACCAGCCCATGGCGTACACCTGGGCGGAGCGCGGGGAGGGCGAGACCTGGTACTGCGAGATGCCGAAGGGGCTCAAGGGCAAGCCCGAGTACTGCTACATCGACCCCATCACCGGCGAGGAGAAGGACATGGTGTGCGAGGTCGGCAACCTCTACGGCGCACCATCCGCAGGTAACGCTTGGTGGAACCACGTCAAGTCCATCAACAAGGCGTTTCCTGGGCTCGTTCAGTCCGAGGCGGACCCGAGCTGCTTCGTCCTCACCCGCAACAGCACGAAACTCATCGTCGTCATCTACGTGGACGACTTCGGCATCTTCCACTCCGGGACCACCGCTGGCAGGGCGCTCGCGCACGAGTACATCGAGCACTTCAACAAGCACGTCGGCAAGCCGCTCAAGGTCCACGAGGGAAAGGTGCACGAGTTCCTCGGGCTCAACATCACCAAGACGCAGACCGGTTTCAAGCTGTCTGCCAGCAAGTACATCGACACGCTGCGCGCGCGCTTCTTCCCGTCAGGCGTCACGCACGCGGGCTACAAGGTGCCCGCGGACAAGGACCTCCCGTCCATCGTCATCAGCGCAGCCGAGAAGAAGACCGCGCCCGACCCGCAGCTCCTCCAGCGCTGCCAGTGCCTCATCGGCAGCCTCATGTTCGCCACCAACGCGCGCCCCGACATCCAGTACACCGTCTCGCAGCTGGCGCGCTGCATGGCTTGGCCCGACGCGAACATCGAGGCCGCCGCCGAGCGCTGCCTCATCTACCTCATCGGCACGCAGGACCTCGGCCTCCACTACGAGCGCGTTGCCGACCCCAAGCTCTTCGGCTGCTCCGACGCGAACTGGTGCACCCGCCAGAGCACCTCCGGCTGCGCCTTCAAGATCGGCACCGCGATCGTCTCGTACTTCTCCAAGAAGCAGGGTCACATCTCCCTCTCGACATTCGAGGCCGAGATCTCTGCCGGCACGCTGGCGGCTTGCGAGGCGGTCCACCTGCGCTCGCTCCTCGCGTCGCTCGGCTACAAGCCCAAGGGCCCGACCATCATCAAGATCGACAACACGGCCGCGCTGCGCGTCGCCGAGGACCCGGTCATGCACGACAAGACGAAGCACATCCTGCGCAAGGAGCTCAAGATTCGCGAGCTCGTCGAGTCCGGGGAGGTCAAGGTCGAGTACGTCGAGAGCCTCAAGAACTTCGCCGACTTCTTCACCAAGCCGCTCCCGCGCAAGGAGTTCGAGTCGTTCCGCAAGGAGATCATGAACGACACCGCCTAGGACGGCACAGAGGGGAAACGCCGACTTCCCCTTCATCAAATGTAGTCGACAACCGGCAGTATGGGCGCTCCTGGAGCTCCCCGAGTCACTTGTATGTTCGTCCTCCACCCTTGAGGAGGCTGCGCAATTGTGCGCGCGACAGTAGGAGATGTAGGAGTCGTCTAGCTTCTTCAGATCCTCAGCCTCGCTACCCGATGCGAGGATGGGGGGCTGTTGAAGACCGACGACCGCGCAGCCGTCTAGTCTACGGCCACACACACACACATAGTGTCCTTACCACCCCTGGACTGCATCTGCGCAGTTTCGTACCGCTGCGGCGCGGTTTTGCAAAAACCGTTCTGCAGCGGCGCGGTTTTGCCCTTCACCCGCAGCCTGGATTGATAGTCATTGTGGGTGTGGGGGCCGCGGGCCAGGACTTTTGTTTGAACAAAGTTTTGACAGTACATTTCTGTCGGGCCTTGGAACAGCTTGTGAGTGGTCACTGAAGACCTTCACACATCGAGCACTTCAACAAGCACGTCGGTCTTCAACAGGGCATCCTCGACCAAGACAACGCGGACCGCGCCAACGAGGCCAAGGCGGCTGCGCAGGCGGCGTTCGAGGCGGAGATTGCCTCGCAAGGCGTGCTCAAGGAGAAGCTCGCGGCCGCCGAGTCCCAGGTCGCCGCTCTCCAGGCGCAGATCAAGTCCGACAAGGGCGGCGGGGACCGCGGCGGCCGCGCAGCCGCTGGGCGCAAGCCGTGCCCCCACTGCAATGGGTTGCACGGTGGCAGGTGTACGCCATGGGCTGGTCGCACGTGATGAGCTCCATGTCCTCCTGCGCGGCCACGTTGAGCACGGTGCGGGTCGTGCCATAGCGGACGACGCTCGCGAAGGTCTTGGTGAAGTCGACGCCGGGCCGCATCAGGTGGCCCATGACACAGCCGCGCCACTTGCACCGAGATCCGGGGGGACCGATTTGCACTTGCCAAGGGACCAATTGCTAAACACCCGGGCGGGGGGGGGAGGGGGTACAGGGGGCCGCCCCACAGACCCGTTGCCACGCGCACCAGGTGAGAGGTTCCGCCAAACGCGCACGTTCGGCACAGCAGATACATCACACTGGCGGGATGCAAGAGTACACTCAACACCTACCCGACAGTACATTCCATGCCAGAACATTCATGGAGGACCGATTCTCGGCAAGTTTGGCAGGGCGGGCAGCTGTGAAGGATCGATTGCTGTACAACGAGGGACCAATTCCGTGAGGGCTGGGTACCGATTAGGCCGGTTGAGGGCCAGATCCATTGCTTGGAGCACTTGGAGTGCTGTTTACTTGCCTTAAAATAAGTACCCGACGGTAGCACCGCGGCTAACCTTCGGCTCCCGCTCAGAGGCTCGCCGCGCCCGTGCGGCGCGCCGAGGCGGCGCCGAGGCCGGCGCCTTGCACCCGGCCCGCGGCCGGCACCGCCTCGCCCCACAACTGACCGCCCTGCGGCCCCTGCGCAGGTGTACCACAGGCGACGCCGGGTGTGGGCTGCTCCCTTGACCCGTCACCCGCCGCGCCCTCGCCCGGCCGCCTCACCGCTCACTCGGCTGCTCGCCGCCGCCGCCGCGCGTCCCGCGCCGCCACGCTTGCCCTCCTTTGCCTGACGCGCGCGCTCTGCAGCGGCGCAGAGCGCGCGTCCCTGGCACAGACGGAGCAGCGGCCGCGCCAGCGGTCGCTGCTCCGCCCCCCCGTCGCGCGCGCCGCGCGCGCGCTGCCGCCGCCGCCGCCGCCGCCGCCCCCTCCTCGCCGTCTTCCCCACCCTACCCTCTGTTGCGCGCGCCGCGCAGCCGCGCTGCGCGCCCCCGCCCCCGCCCCCGCCCCCGCTCCCAAGCGCCCCTTCCCCGGTAGGTGTGCGTAGAAAGTAGAACCAATCGAGAGGTGGCAGAAGCCGCCGTGTGTGACACATATTGCGGCACGTGAGAGTGAGACAGAGCCCCGGCAGCGGCCAGCGCGCGCGCGCAGCGGCCAGCGCAACAGGCGTTTCAAACAGCAAACGGGACGGCCTGCGCAGCCTCTAACTATTTTCGGACGTGTTGACGAGCAAGGGGCGCCCATCCGACATCGCAGCTCTGGTTCTACATCTCCAAGATGGAAAGTCGTGCCGACACGCATATCGTCTTTACGATATTATGATGTCGCCTCTCCTGCACGTGTTGCTCGCATCCATCTTCTTGTGTTGCGTGGGCGCGACGGCGCCTCCGCCTGAGCAGCTCGACGCAATTGCTGAACTGGTAGCCGGCGTCTTTGCGTGGGTCGACGAGGCCAGGCACCACCGTGCACCACTTCGCGTTCACGCGCCCTGCGATCGTGCAAGCTCTGTCAATGTCGGCCAGCACGAGGTCCTGATGGTCCTTGCGGCCTGATGCAAACGTCGGCTTCGAGAAGTCGCAGTGGGCGACGAACACACCCATCTGCATGCCAAGCTTCTCCATCTTGGCGGCGAGGCGGCGTTGAGTCGCCTCGTCACGGCTGCCCATGTCATTGTCCTCCCATGCGCGGAAGCCATGCTCTGCAGCGAATTGCAGCTGGTCCTCCAGCGACTCGGCATGGTGTCGGAACATGCCGAAGTGCGGCGCGTAGAGCAGCTGGAACGGTTCGTTGCGCGGTGTCAGAGTTTGCGCGTTGGTGGCCGCCGCGAAGCCCGCGGCGCTCGCGCCAGAGAGGACGAGCATATAAGTTTTCGAGCGAGCCGACACAGCCAGACCCAAAGTAGGTGCCATCTCAGCGATCACGGAGACGTAATAAAAGCAATGTTGACGCAAAAGCAGTAAGGTGACGTATTACTTTTCTACCAGATTACACCGAGAACCATAGATAGCTGGCAGCTGGGCACCCAGCTGCGCATGAGCTGGCCAGCTTTGGGTGGCTGAGCTGGCCTGCCTGCTGGCCGGCGGGGAGCTGGCCAGATCAGCTCGAATCAGCCGGTCAGATGAGGTCCAGGCTATCCCCGCGCGAGCAGCAGATCTGCTCGGAGATCGTCTCGGTGCCAGATCTGCTGGGCGCTTTGGGGCCGGCTGGCCGCTCAGAGGCGCGGACCTTCCTACATACAGCTTGTTCCCGTTCCTGCAACGGGAACATCAATCACGGTATACATCGAGAGCGCTGGTGGCTGCCTAATCCGGCATCGCCCTTATGGCCACAATGGGCGGCACCGTCATGCTCTCTGTCGGCAAAGGATGACGACGTGCGCGGGGGTCGGCACGCGAGCCCGCTCTGCCGTACCATGGCGAGCATGGACAACCCACAGGACAGCCGGTACCAGCGCATAGCCGTGATCGACGCGTCGGCCATCGGCGCCGGCAGCAGTGGCACCGGTGCCGCCATCGCCACCGCCGCCGCCGCCGCCGCCGCCACCGCCGCCGGTGCCGCGCCGCCGTGCCGCGTGCTGCAGACGCTGCACACCGACCCGGCGGTGTACGCGGGGCCGCACCTCCTCGGCGTCGACGAGCGCACCGGCGACGCGGCGCTCGTGGCCAAGTCGACGAGTGCTGCGCTTCAAGTGCGTCGCGTAAGGGAAAATTTACGGGTCCCGGTTCCCGAGGCGAGCGCAGCGAGCCCCGAGTGTGTGTCTGTAGTGCATACAGACCCGACGCCGGACTTGGCTGCGCGAAATTCTGCCCGCGCCCCATAATACCGCCAGGAGTACCGCGCACCGCTCACTGCGGGGGTGGCGTCGTGGGGGGCGGGCGGGTCCTCCGCAGCGTCTCATACGTGCCCCAAGCAGCAGGACGGGCGCGCCCCCGACGGCGCGAGACTCGGCCACCGCGATTCTCTTTGGTGGATCTCGACGGCCTGGCACAAGAACCGAGCGAGCGAGCGGCGCACGCGGCGCGGGCACTAAGGCAGCCCCCACGTACACGGGGACATGGTTGAGCTGACAACGCAAGAGCGGCTGACATTGTCCATCGACAACGACACATCACCCGAAAAGTCCTTTGGCATGTCGATCAACGCGATGAGGCTTGTGTGCAATATTGTGCCTTCGGGCCTTGCCTACGAGGCTGGCGTGCGCATGGGTGACGTGCTCCTCGCTTTCAACGACCAGCAAGTCCAGAGCGAGGAGTTTCTTTTTGAGCAGATGCGTCACACGCTGCGCGCGCGCTTCTTCCCGTCAGGCGTCACGCACGCGGGCTACAAGGTGCCCGCGGACAAGGACCTCCCGTCCATCGTCATCAGCGCAGCCGAGAAGAAGACCGCGCCCGACCCGCAGCTCCTCCAGCGCTGCCAGTGCCTCATCGGCAGCCTCATGTTCGCCACCAACGCGCGCCCCGACATCCAGTACACCGTCTCGCAGCTGGCGCGTTGCATGGCTTGGCCCGACGCGAACATCGAGGCCGCCGCCGAGCGCTGCCTCATCTACCTCATCGGCACGCAGGACCTCGGCCTCCACTACGAGCGCGTCGCCGACCCCAAGCTCTTCGGCTGCTCCGACGCGAACTGGTGCACCCGCCAGAGCACCTCCGGCTGCGCCTTCAAGATCGGCACCGCGATCATCTCGTACTTCTCCAAGAAGCAGGGTCACATCTCCCTCTCGACGTTCGAGGCCGAGATCTCTGCCGGCACGCTGGCGGCTTGCGAGGCGGTCCACCTGCGCTCGCTCCTCGCGTCGCTCGGCTACAAGCCCAAGGGCCCGACCGTCATCAAGATCGACAACACGGCCGCGCTGCGCGTCGCCGAGGACCCGGTCATGCACGACAAGACGAAGCACATCCTGCGCAAGGAGCTCAAGATTCGCGAGCTCGTCGAGTCCGGGGAGGTCAAGGTCGAGTACGTCGAGAGCCTCAAGAACTTCGCCGACTTCTTCACCAAGCCGCTCCCGCGCAAGGAGTTCGAGTCGTTCCGCAAGGAGATCATGAACGACACCGCCTAGGGCGGCACAGAGGGGAAACGCCGACATCCCCTTCATCAAATGTAGTCGACAACCGGCAGTATGGGCGCTCCTGGAGCTCCCCGAGTCACTTGTATGTTCGTCCTCCGCCCTTGAGGAGGCTGCGCAATTGTGCGCGCGATAGTAGGAGATTTAGGAGTCGTCTAGCTTCTTCAGATCCTCAGCCTCGCTACCCGATGCGAGGATGGGGGGCTGTTGAAGACCGACGACCGCGCAGCCGTCTAGTCGACGGCCACACACACACACATAGTGTCCTTACCACTCAGGGACTGCACCTGCGCAGTTTCGTACCGCTGCGGCGCGGTTTTGCAAAAACCGTTCTGCAGCGGCGCGGTTTTGCCCTTCACCTGCAGCCGTAGATCAATAGTCAAGGTGGCCCACAGGGCGCGGGACAGGACACTTGTTTGTAAGTTTTGGCAGTCTATTTCTGTCAGTACTTTGGATACAGCTTGTGAGTGGTCACTGAAGACCTTCACAACTTGTGTTGCTTCGCCGTGGTCCGCAGGTTGCGGACCCACTCGGTGTGCTCCCGCTCGGAGCCCAGTTTGTAGGCCGGAATCACAAGCTTGTCCGTCGACGACATGTTGTCGTAATGTCCCGGGGATCGTTGCCCCGCCGCCACCAACTGTGCGGGGGAGTGTAAGGTGTCTATATGGGCTTCCAGTATCGGACCTTTTTTGTTTGTTTGTTCGGACCTTCAAGACATGCGCTTTTGGCCGGTGGCCTCCTCGGACACATCCGGTCAATCTTTCTTTGCCACACACCGGGATTGTCACCGAGATCATCCAAATTCAGCGCATCCGCCGGCCAGCCCCTCGGCGGCCGCCGGATAAAACAGAACAAGATTTTGAATTTTACAACAAAACTCCGTCGCACCGATTTTGAAAAAAACAAGCAAAACCGGCGACCGTGACAATCCTCCGCCGGCGCTTGTGTGGACTACGCCCGCGGAGCTTCAATCCACCCCGTCGGAGCCTCGCTGGAGCCATGCTGTCGTTCATCTCGCTCCCGGCGATGAGTTTCGCCTCTCACATAGAGCCGTGCCCCGACTGTGAGACATGCCCGCCCATGATGGTTCCGCCGCCGCCGCCGCCCAAGATCACAGACTTCTCGCAAGTCAAGTGCGCCTGCCGTGCTGTTCCCTTCCTCCCTGCGCTGACAGGTATATCGACCGAGCATCCATCCCCGCGCTGACAGGTTCATCGACGAGCTCGCTCGTCCGGACCATGTCAAGCCGCACTTTCTCGGTGTGGACCCGCTCGCCGGCGAGCCACGCCTCTCGTGCCGCGGCATCGAGGGCAAGAACTGCACCAAGGACGGCGACTTCCGCTCGACTCTCGGGCCGAAGCTCGCCGCGGAGTACACGGAATACACCCACCTCACCGTGCCAACGGGCACCGTCCACGGCCAACCCGGCTTCTACCACGGCGTCGCCTCAGGTCGCCCGCCTCGGTTGCCCCGCTGCCCCCACTCCTCGGCATCTCGGCTTGACGCCCCGCCTTTTGCCTCGTGCGTATCGCAGGCAGCCCAACGACTTCGGCTGTCGTCGTCTGGACTCGCTACACGCCAGCTTCGCCGACGGATGTTGTGCCGGTGACGCTGGTCATGGACAAGGCAGGTGCAAGCGCACTCAGCGCAGCCTCGCCAATCAAGATGACGGTGATGGCCGAGGCGAAGAACGACTGGGTGATCAAGATCGACGTGACGCACCTGCCAGCAGGCCCGGCCGCTCCCAGCCCTCCTCCCCGCCCGCCCCCCACTACGCGTGCGAAACCTTCTCCTACTCCCGCTACCGCACCCGTCAGCAGCCAGGCCCGCCGCTCCAGCCCTCCTCGCCGACTGCCTCCCGCTGCGCGCGAAGCCTTCTCTTCGACACTTCTCCCCCGCCCGGCCCACGGCAGGCACTGACTTCGTCTACGCCTTCATCGCCGACGGCAAGCAGTCGATGGTCGGCATGACCAAGACGGCCCCGGATGGCCCCACCGCAGAGATGCACTACGCGCTTTTCTCGTGCTCGCATTGGGCACAGGGCTACTTCCACCCTTACGACCACGGCTCCATCCTCGAGAAGCTCGACTGGTGGGTCCACGTTGGCGACTACATCTACGAGTACGGCGTCTCGACGGCGGACGACTTCTCCGACCGCATGTGGGGCTACAGCGCCCACCGCTGGCCGACCAAGGAGCGCATGGACCCGCCGTGGGAGATCGTGGAGCTCAACGACTACCGTCGCCGCTACGCCGTGTACCACACCGACCACGGGCTGCAGCAGCTCCGCGCCCGGGCGCCCATGATCGCGACGTGGGACGACCACGAGATCACCAACAACTGGTTCTTCCAGGGCGCCCAGAACCACCAGTCCACGTGCCCTGCGGACGCGACCGCGTGCGACGAGCACGAGGGTTCGTGGGTCGAGCGCGTCAACGCCGGCGCCATCGCTTACCTCGAGTGGCTGCCGATTCGCCGCGGCCCGGATGACCAGTCTGGCCTCATGAACACTGACATTAAGCAGGTCATCGAGTGGGGCGACCTCGCCACGATCGTCTCGGTCGACACTCGCGGCTATGCTCGCTCGGCGGACTACGTCGGCGGCTGGCAGAAGCCCTCCGCCTGCGCGGTGCGACTCTACCTCTAGAGAGTCGCGCTGGCCTATAATAGTTACTAGTACTTTCGAGCAGGAACGTGTTCTCTTTTTGAGAGAGAAGAGAGGAGAGAGAGCGGGGTAGAGATTTGTCAGAAATTCTCGTCGCGAGACGCCGCAAGTGAGCCGCAAGTCCCCACAAAATGCGAGCCATCGACAGGTCCAGAACACGTGCCAGAGCGTCTCCTCCCCGCCCCTCCTGCCGCCGCCAACGCCACCGCCGCCGTCCGCGTCGCCGACGTCCCCGCCACCGTCGTCCATCTCGCCGTCCCCTCCGCCGCCGTCGGCCTCGCCATCACCTCCGCTGGTTGAGGGAGCGTGCAACGCAACCGCGCAGTGCCAGTACTCGCCTCTCTGTCCTTCCGTTCCCTGCCAGCAGTTCCAGGACACGCGATGCGACGCCGCCTCATTCCATGGTCTGCTTCAAACCTGTCCGCAGTGCGACGCGACTCGCTCTCCACACTCCCTGAGCCTGACTCCCATCCACTCGCACTCCGCACACCGCAGTGACCAATGTCACGCTTTTGGTCGAAGGATAACCCCCCCCCCCGCCCCCCCCCGCCCCCCTGACGCGTCCACCCTCCGTCCAAAGCTCACGATGCCTACTAATATGTAATAAATACATACATAAGTTTACTGACGTACGCGTTTTTGTTGGCTTGAGCCGGCCGCGGGCCCCGGCCGCGCGCGGGCCGGCAATGGCATTTTATTGTGAGGATTGGGGTTTTGTGGTTCGGTCCGAACTCGGAACTGGAACAACCAACAACGCCTGTGACATACCCAACACAGGCAACGTCTCACGCCACATGCTATGAATCCGCTATGATCGCGGCGCGGACGAGGCGCCGCCCGCGCTCACGACCTCGCGCGTGACCCGCCTCCCCCCGTGCGTCGGGTGCGAGTACAGCGCGGCTTGCACGGCCGCGAGCGCGAGGGACCCATGCGAGGTGAGGGGTGGCGGGGCGACCACCGCCGCCACGCCGCCGCCCTCGCCCTCCCCGCCCGAGGACACTTCGCACTCTCTCCGCCGCTCGGCAACCTGCGCGGGCGAGGCGAAGGGCGCCGTCTGCAGGATCGTGTGGCGCAGCGGCTGGCTCTGCTCCTCGAGGTGCTGCTCGAGCCGGCGGCGGAGAGAGAGGTGCGCCTCGCCGCCCATGCGCGCGCGCGCCAGCGCCGAGTCCACGGGCGCCAGCGACGAATGCAGGATGACATGCTGCACGCCGGCGGCCGCAGCCGCGTCGATGACTCGCACGCTCTCCCCAAAGACGCGCTCGGTCAGCCGCGGCTCTGGCACGGAGACGACAGTGTCTCTGGCCGTCGCCTCGACGAGCGACGGGTGGATGTCGTCCATCAGCACGACGAGTGTAGTGTATCCTCGCAGCACGGCTGCAATCTCGCCCTCACTGCTCCCGAGGTCAGCGCTCACGCTGAGCGACGGGAATGACCGCTCGCACATGTCTCGCACAATACCCTCCTTCACGACGGAGCCGCACACGGCCCGGCGGCATAGGTTCGCCTCTTCCCCATCTCGGCAGAGGGCGCAGACCCTCAAGTTGGGCGCGTCGTCGCCGTTGCGGATCCCTCGCAGCAGGCCGAGGGCTGCCACGCCCGTAGGACCGGCGGCGTTTGCGATGGCGACGCTGCGGCTCCAGAGTCGGGCGTGAGAGCGCGAGACTAGGAGGAGGAGGAGCGTCCGCATCTTCAATACTTCAGGGCTGTGTGTGTTGCGAACACGGCGAACTGGTGCGCGGTGCCAAGAGGGTGTTGACGAAGAGAAAAAAGTTTGCCTTTCTTTGCCTCTTTTTTGGTGCCTGAAGGGTGCCAAGCAGCTCCTTCGCAGTCCATGAGCACAGCAGCCATTATCTGGGCTTCGCTGCTGCTCCCGCGTGCGGCGGCAGCCGTCGTGGCGCTGGGCTCCCGCGCCGCCCTCCGAGCCGCGCCGCGCATGGGCGTCGACCCTGAGACCAGGCTCTGGACGCCCGATGACATGGCGCTGGGCTCCCGCGCCGCCCTCCGAGCCGCGCCGCGCATGGGCATCGACCCTGAGACCAGGCTCTGGACGCCCGACGACATACTCTGGACTCCTCCCGAGAAGAGCGGCGAGAGGGCCGAGAAGTTCGGCCCACTGACAGGCAAGTACTGCGAGGACCTCGCCTCTGTCTTTCGTCGGAAGACGCGCACAGTCACCGCCGGTCCGGTCAAGTTCGGCTCGGAGCACCCTATTGTCCGCCAGACGATGGGCACGACGTCGACAAAGGACGTGAAGGGGACCGTCGACCAGATTATGCGGTGCGCCGACGTTGGCTTTGATCTGGTGCGCATCACGGTGGTGGGGATGAAGGAGGCCAACGCGTGCCACGAGATCCGCGACTCGCTCAACCGGAAGGGCTACGACATCCCGCTGTGCGCCGACATGCACTTCCAGCCAAAGGTCGCCATCAAGACGGCCGAGGCGGTCGAGAAGATTCGGATCAACCCGGGCAACTTTGCGGACGGCCGGAAGCAGGACGAGGACGAGGTGTCGTACGAGACGGACGAGGACTTCCTGCGCGACCGCGACTACATGGTCGAGGCCTTCACGCCGCTCATCGAGACGTGCAAGAAGTTTGACAGGGCGATGCGGATCGGCACTAACCACGGCTCGTTGTCGGCGCGCATCCTCTCCTTCTACGGCGACTCGCCGCGCGGGATGGTGGAGTCGGCGATCGAGTTCGCCGACATGTGCCGCGCCCTCGACTACCACAACTTTGTCTTCTCGATGAAGGCGTCCAACCCCGTCGTGATGATCCAGGGCTACCGGCTGCTGGCGGCAGAGATGTACCGTCTCGGCTGGGACTACCCGCTGCACCTGGGCGTGACCGAGGCGGGCGAGGGCGAGGACGGTCGCATGAAGTCCGCCATCGGCATCGGCACGCTGTTGGCCGACGGGCTGGGCGACACGATCCGCGTCTCCCTCACCGAGGACCCCGAGTACGAGTATGCGCCTTGCAACCGACTCGCCGAGCTCGCAGGCGACGCGGCGGGGCGGCGAGGGAGGGGCGGGGCGGGGCGGGGCGGGGGGTGGGGGGGCACCGCGTCCACGACGTAGCTGAGACGTGTGACCCGTAGGCACGCTGCTCGAGGGCGAGGCGCGCCAGGCGCAGCAGAGCGTGCCGGCGTACGAGGAAGCACGCGGCGAGGCAGGCGGCGCGCGCGAGACCTCGTCCATGTGACACGTCCACGACTCGCCCCGTTAGGATACGCGCGACGTGACCCTCTTCACGCGGCAGCGGGGCCGGCTGCCCGCCCAGCGGGAGGGCGACGTCCTCGACTACCGCGGGCTGCTCCACCGCGACGGCTCCGTCCTCAGCGCCCTCCCCCTCGCCGAGCTCTCGGCGCTCGGACAGATGGGCTCGTTCGGCCGGTGCGTATATACGCGCCAGCCACTCCAGTGCCTTTCTGCCTGCCCTGCACAACTCGCGCACGCCGCCACGCGCGCACCCACGCCCCACGGGCTACGGTCCACGACCCTGTCGAGCCCCCTGCATTCGCATGTCGACAAAGCGCGCGCCCGCGAGGTCGGCCCGCTCGATGCGCGCGCGCTGCAGACCGTGACTCGCTCCGCCAAAGGTCCGCGCTGTTCAAGTCGCTCGGCTGCAAGCTGCTCGAGGGCGCGGACGGCGAGGCGATCCCGCTCAAGGACGTCGCCACCTCGGACGCGCTGCTGCTGCGCGAGCCGCCGGCGCCCGACGACGAGTACTCGCGCGCCACGCTCGCCGCCCTCGCAAAGGGCGGGTTGCACTGCATCGTGCCCGCCGCCGCCCTCGCCGCCAACCCGCTGCCCGGCGCCGTCGCCCTGGTCGAGCTTGCGGACCTCGAGGCGAAGCTGCTGCTCCGCACCGGCGGAGGCGCCGACGGCGGCGCCGCGACCAGCGCACTCGGTGACGCCGTGCCTGTGGCCGGCTTTTGGCTTTGCGTGCCGGCCGACCTAGAGGTTCGGTTGTGCTGCCCCCCTGCAGGCGACTCGGGGAGGCTCGCCGTGACGGTGCGTGGCGACGAGTCGGACGAGCAGCTGGCGACGCTCTGCGCGCGCGAGGCGGAGGTGGATCTGCTGCTCGTCGAGACGCCGGAGCGCCTCTCGCGGCTGCACGCGTCGCGCCGCCTCTTCAACACGCTCAAGGAGAGGCGGGTCGACCTGCCCGTCGTCCACCACTTGCGCACGCCCGCCGTCGACTCGGCAGAGCTCGCACTCCGGCTAGGCGTGACACGGGCCCCGACACACGCAGACACAAGCGGCCCGCGCCGACACGCGCCGCGCCGGCCCTGCGCGCCCTCCCACCCCTCCACCTCCTGGCTCTGCGCAGGCATGCAGGCCGGATCGCTGCTGGGCGACGGGCTCGGCGACGGCATCCTCATCGAGGCGGAGCGCGAGGAGGGTGAGGCGGCGGCGGGCGGCGAGGCGGCGGGCGGCGGCTTCGACATTGCCTATTTGCGCGAGACGTCGTTCGCGCTGCTGCAGGGCTCGCGGATGCGCAACACAAAGACC